ATGCTTCCATCCCAAATGCCTCAGCTACTCGATTGCCCGCTGCATCATCTCCTGCCATTTGCTCAACGTGCTCAGACCATTCCTCCCACGTATTCACTGTGGTCAAGCAACTAATCTTCTTGATCAACTGATCGGCCAGCCCCACCCTGCACATCGTAATCCAGTGAGAATCCCTCTGGACGATTCCAGCGCACTGACATCTCAATCTATAATCGTTCACTCGATGAAGGAAATCACTGACACTTTCTCCCTTCTTCTGCCTCATCGACAGACCCTCGGACTGGAGGATCTCACTCTCACGATTCTTCCCAGCTCTTCTCTCTAAAGCTCGCCAAATATCGGCAACGGCTTCGGCATAACTCTCTCGGCGCAAGGGGTCCTTTAACAACTTCTGATTCGCAGTGACGACGTCGATCCACAGCCGAGCTTCAATGTGGTGAGCGAGGTAATAATACTCATGAACTTTGCTCCACCCCCGACTTGATGACACTACTGACACATGGGTCTTGAACAGAGACAGTGGAGTCGTTCCCGTGATCTTATACGGTCCACCCGGAGGAGCACGACCCGCCTCAGCGGCCTTACGGATTTTCTCCCTCTCTCCTTCTCTGAGCAGCTCTCGGCCTTGTAAGACATCGGTAACTTTCTCCTCTGACTTCCCAGGCGAATCCCAGGATACATCTCCCCTCGAGATGTCAATGGGATTGCCAGTTGGAATATATCTTCCCTTTGTGACAGCCTCACCCATCCTCTCATCACTGTCCTTGGCTTCAGACTTATCCGCTATCACCGTCGATCCTGTTCTGGGTTCATCAGTGTGGGCTTGTCGGTCTGTCGTCAATCGGCTCTCGCCACCTCGTACTTGCTCACGTAGTGCCTCGGCCTCTCCCGTCCCCATTCTGATAATATCGCATCGTCGCTGAGCAATTCTTTCCAGGAACGGTTCTGGAAGGTTAAGAGCAAAAGGCGAATAAGAACTAGCCCACAGTTGACCACGTACTGCCTTCTTAGCCGGACGGATGGCCCTGGCTTCCCCTGAACCTCGAGATTGTGCCCTCAACTCCAAGACCAAATAGGACTTTAAATTCTCATATTGCTCATAGATCGCACTTTCAACTTCATCGAACTCAGTCTCCGGTCCCACAAGCTCCAACACTTCCTCCTTAACCTCCTCCAATGCTGCTCCAACGAATCGTTCAAGCGCTTCTGAACCCTCCGCCAAAGGGCATTCCTCATAGCTCAACAACAGTGCCGTTACTTCATCGAGAGCACTACTCCGCACTTTCACCGTGTTCGCAATCTCCTTCACCTTCTGTCCTACCGAGATCGCCAATAAATGTAGCGACACGGTTTCCTCCCCTGCAGACTCTCGATTAGAAGCTATCGACGACGGACTCGCGTGCAACCCAACATCGCTTTCTCTACTAGGACTCGTATCCATATCGGAGTAATAGTGACGGAATAGACCGAAGATTAAGATCCAAATAAGAACCCCTGAAGTACGTAAGATACTCGAAATGTAACGAGCTGCAAAAATACGGACTTCCCGATTTACGTCACAGATCAGAACCGAATATCGGACGCGTCACAGACATATCTTGTAATCTCGTAAGTTCTTGACTATTTCTCAATAAGTCTGAAAATGAGTATACGAAAGAGAAAAGTAGACAGGATCAATCACGAATCCTCGTCTGAATAAGCGACAACCATAGCAGAGTTGTCAAGCCTCGAGAAATCATCATCACACAGGGAGCGCTTCTTTAGAAACTCATGAGAGGTCTTTTGAACATCCCGTTGTTTAATCAACTCTTGAAAACTTTTTGATACAAACCTTCCAAAATTCTTGCTCAATCTTGGACTAACTCGACGGCGATGTTTTGGTATCGTGGTCTTAACGAACTCCCTGAATTCACATGTTTCTTGGGTTTACCTCTGGACGAGTTGTCGTTGGAGATGTGAAGTAAAATTGTCAATGGCTCAGTTTGGTTGGGGAGATCCCTCATTTTGTATTATAACTTTCCTCATGGGTGAGGATTTCGGTAAAAAGGGAATCACAATTCGTCCACGAACACCTCCACATGGTTTCGAACCCGGGGTCAAATGGCGTAGGAGGTAGTAAGCAAGGTATTCTTCGGACTGAGCTATCCAACTGTGACTGATTAGGTCGAATCTAGGCCTTGTGGACTGGATATGTATAGCAATATTCTGGGCATGCCTATTGTGGCAGCTCATCACAGGGTTCGTACTGCTGGGCTCTGCTAACTATCAGCTGGCTCAACTTGACTCGGTAGTAGACTGCTCTTGCAAACGTCTCTACATGGGCAGCTTTTCAGGATGATATGTGCCCTAGTGGATACATGTACGCACCTACACAGTGCACTGGCAGCACTCCGAAATCAACGCCTTATCCTGTGTGGTATGTACGGATATAGCAGTGTTGTAACAGTATTGGTGATGGTCTCAGGGATGCTACTGTATGTGTTAAAGAAGATCTCTGCAAACAGATAAGTACATGTATCGATGATAGTATAGCAGTACCGCATCATCGTAAGTGGTTCAATAGAGACCTTTCCCATACAAATGAGGACCCGGTAAGAACGTTGTCTTGAATATTGCTAATGATTGTAGCCCAAACAGGTATCTCCTACATTCTGGGTCGTGCTCGGCAAGTATTGGTATATACCAACAGTGATATGTCTAGGAGTTGTGGTACTAGGAGTGCTATGGCTTTATGCATTACAATTGTTGGTGAAACCCATCATATGGTCAACACTATCCTTAGGGGTGGCCTTACTTGTAGGCTTTTGGGCTTTCTGGTAGTAGCACTATTCACTCTTTGTCGTTACTGTGTTATGGTCAGGTTCGTCGAGTACCATGTGAATAACTGGATGCTGTTGGTAGGAGCAGTGGTAGAGTTGATATTCATGGCCTTCTGCTGGGGGTCTATCAACCGATCAGCAGAGGTGATATCAGTAGCCTCAGCAGGACTAAAGGCCACTCCTAGTGTGTTGGGAGTATCCCTACTGGTGGAAGCCATGTATGTCGGTTACACTGCATTATGGATAGTATTCCTCATTACTACCTTCCACGTCAAAGAGGTAGTAGTAGTGATCTCGAAGCGGTTGACATTGTTATGGTATCAGGTTGACGGTACTAGTTGCAGTTTAGATGAGCCCTCTTGGGTGGCTGTATCACGGTGGATCTATGGCCCTATGTTCTTCATATTCACCTATGTATTCCTCAATATGAAGACTGTGGTATGTGCTGTCGGCGTCGGTGCGTGGTAATACTCCTCGTCATCAGCTGTGATTCTATTTTTGATGTTTTGTTTACTGTATTGGTCAGGTACTTCCCCGATCCTGATGCTCCTATGGTACCAGCTCTCAAGGGTCTTCAATGGGCCTGTACGTCAAGTTCCGGTGCAATAATGTTAGTCTATGGCTTCATCGTATCAATTCGTCATTTTCATATTCAGGTTTGCTTCGTTGTTCGTTGGTATTGTACGGTATGTTATAAACCGAATAACGGATGTGATTAACTGTCTGCCTATATGCCTGTCTCCACTTGCTTGCTTGTGGAGCTGTATTGCAAGTTGCCTCCTTGGCATACTCGAGATGTTTTCCAAGTTCATGCTTATAGGACAGGTAAGTATAGTGGTACTCCAGAGGGCACATTGCTGTTGTTGTTATTAGGCATTCTGTGGTGAGGCTTTCTGTGGTTCAGCTCGGCGATCGTTTAGTGTCGTTAAGGATAGGCTTGGTGATGCCTTTATAACCGATTCTATCGGGGCTAATGTGGTAAGCTACTATCCTCTTGTGGTCCTATCACATTGTGCAACAGGTAACAATGAGTACCTACATCTTCTCCCTTGGGCTTGGTATTGCATCCTGGGCATGGTTAGATTCTGCACAGGATTATCAGACTCTAACTAGTATGGCCTGGTACGTCCTAGTACCCGTACTAGTCCTATACGCCTTCTTTATATCTATACCAGTACTAACCATCACTTTATTGGCTTGGTTATCATCATGGTTACATGTGCTGGTATGCGGCTCTGACGGTGAATGCTCGACAGGCTGGGAAGTTGACACTCAGCACGCTATCAACTCTGTCACAGGAGCGCTGTTCATTGGTTCGGTCTGTTACTGTTTATTCAACTTCATTGGTGAAGTGGTTATCTCGAGTATTGATACCATATTCTTTTGCTTCGCTATTGAGTATGATAATGATATCTATCAATCACGATTAAGAGCTCAGGTGTATGAAGTACTTCGAGATGACTGCCCTGGTGGTGCTGTACCAATGGATGGTGCTCTATGTCAACCCTATACCGCTAAAGGGGAGGATACTCTCACCACAGTGACAGGATCTCCCCAGTTGGTCATTAGTGATGATAATGAGCATACTACCGTTAACGTACCTACTCCTAGTGCACCCATCGTATACCAGAGACCTCCTCCCAATGCACCTATCGACACACTACATGTTACACCAGTACCAGCTGATCAAGCTATGATAGGCAGGCCTAGTGATAAACGGATAAGATGAGTATGCTTAGAATAGGCCGCTATTATGAGTGTTGTTGTTATTGTTCCTCA